TTAAGTTCTCATTTTTCTCGATTACTTGAAGGTCTTTCCTAAAAGCAGCTTCAGATTCATAACCTACCTCGAATTCTTTATACATGTGATACTGTTTTTTCCACCCACATAAAGCCGTGTTATTACAATATTTTGAAAAAAATTTGCACAATAAATTCCCGTTTATCACAGCAAGTAGAAGATTTATCACAGAAAAGACTTTATATTCATAATTCAAATAGAATATTCTGTTTTGTTACTTTTTGCCAAAATCAACACACTTTCAATTTTTTTTTTTTCAAATTCTGATTTTTTTTTAAAATAGGATCTTATTTTCGTTATCGAACAATGAACTTTAACTTCGTTACCTGTATTGAATTTTTCATATAATAGTTACTTTTTCGGTCTTAGTAGAGTAAATTTTAAAATTTTTTCGGAAAAATTTTGTCAATTAAATTCTCATTTTTTTTTAGTTATTTGAAGGTCTATCCGAAAAGGTACTTCAGATTCATAATCTAAAAGAATTTTTTATGTCATTTTGCTTTTTCCGCCTAAATGAAAGCATTTTTTAGAGTTTTTTGACAACAGTTTGAAAATTGTATTCTCGTTTTTCGGGGTTATTTGAAGAGCTATGTCAAAAACAATTTTGTATTCATAATTTGCGCTGAATTGTCTATAGTTTGACACTTTTTTGCCAAAATAAAAGCGTTTTTTACATTTTTTTGGGTTTGTCTTTTTTTAATTAGATTATCATTCGAAGAGTTATGGAAAGTTAAACTCAAATTTGTAATCTGCGTTGAATTTTTGAACAATTTGAAAATTAAATTATCGTTTTTCACAGTTACTTGAAGCTGTGTTTAGGAAAAAAAATCAGAATATAATTTACTGAAAAGATTTTAAGGATCGACTTCTGTTTCATTTAATTATGTTAATAAATAATTCATATGTTACAATACGTTTCTTAATGACAATCTTAAATTTTGGAAGTTCTTTTCGACACTAGTAGTGAGTTAAATAGATCGAGCTATACACGAACAGAATTTTCTCAGTCCCTGTGCTACAAGATGTGAATAATGTTCGTTGTATTAAATGCTTTTAATGATAAAAGGAACAGAAATCCAGAAGTTTCACAGCGTTTATCGAAAACGTGAGTAAAGTTTCGTGAGATGAGATGGTATTTTTCAATGGATGCAATATAAATTATTATTATATCGCTCCATTGTTTCACAGGAATCTCTAATGCCTTTAAGATGTTCGATTAATATTAATTTGAATTAAAAATATTTTATAGTTATGTTTGTGTGTTTTTAATATTAGGACCCATCTGAGGTGAACAGGTAGCTCGAACTTACAGCCTCGGTAGAGCAATTCACTATTTCTTCTGACGCCAAATCGTTCCAACGATCGAGGGCACGATCCAGAACACCCGTTAAGAAAAACTTGTGTTGATACCTTTCAAAATTTGCTGCAAAAGCCAAGAAATGCATCCAACCTTGGGCTTTCAAAAAACAACAGTCGATGGCGGAAAACAACTAATCTCATTGGTTGAAACGACACAACACAATCCGGCCAAACTTAATTCTTGCTGTCTTTTTATAACAAACAAAATCACCAACAACAAATTTCAAACAACAAAGAGTACGGCCTGTACCACTGGCCGGTCTTTTGGTGCGGCATTTCTTATCGGCGGCTCGTACGATAGTCGAAGACCAAAGGGTTGGGCTGACCGTTTCACATCTGCCTTTATCCCACTTGAACATTTTTTCGTTTGTTAAAATGTGAACGTCAAATGTCATTTTTTGTATTTAAGATGGTAATGATGTACCCATCCATGCTCTGAAGTACCTTTATTTCGTTGCCTACTTATGCTCCGAAAATATTTGCCCTGTTACTAAAAATGGCAAATTGTAATTTCAACTCCTACTCCAAATATATATATTTTTGTTGTACACCCGTTAGTACCTACCTACGATAGGGAGCTTTTAGCCGCATACTCCGTTATCAAACATTTTCGTTATTGTCTAGAAGCACGAAATTTCATTTTGTATACTGTTCAAAAACCGTTAACTTTTGCGTTCCTACAAAAAAGCGGCAAAGCTACGCCAAGACAATTGCGTCACCTCGACTTCATAGGTCAATTTACAACAGACATAAAATACCTTCCAGGTAAATACAATATTCCTACTGATTTTTTCTTTAGAACCGTTTCTTCAATCTCTAACACCGCTGCAATCTCTTTGGAAAACATAGCTAGACTTCAAACATCAGATCCTGAGCTTAGATTCCTAATAGTATATTAAAGAACGAGTTTCATAAGGCAAATATTGAGGCACGAATCCGAGTTTATAGAACGAGCGGCGAAGCCGCGAGTTATATAAAGGATGAGTGCCTCAATGGCCTTATGAACGAGTTATTTATACTATTTTTTCTACCGCACACGTTTTTTCCCAAAATTTAATTGAAATTTGCATTTTTTTTAATCTGGGGACTTTTGTCGTGGTTGGTGATGGGTCGGTCTGACACTAACCACGAAATATTTGAGGTTCGAATTTTCACAACAACAATTGTAATTCGAACCAATTCGAGTTTTTGTAATTTAAAATTGGTTAAAATGTCTTGCGAAGAAGTTACGTGTCCGGAAACATGGAAAATTTTAAGTTTAGATTTGCCACTGACATTCACCTGACATTTCTCGTCATTGCTACCAATCTTACCGATCTAAATTACACCAGATCTATTAAAGAACGCCTTTCCTCTATTAACGAACTGCTGTGACGTCATTTGCGTGCGTTAATAGCTCTATTAGAAAACCAAAAAACGTGGGCGGTAGAAAAAAGAAAATAATAGCACTTCACTGCTCCTCACCACAGTCACATTTCCTGACGGTACCGAGCTTACTGTCGAATCTTCAACAGACAAAGTGAGCGCCTGCTTGGCATTGGAAATGCGAAGACACCCCCTTGCCATCTTACATAATCCAGTTCACTCAGGATTCCGGGGATTCGTTAAACTAATACATCAGCGTTTTATTTGGCCATCTCTTAGAAAAGACGTCGGTGTATAGGCCTAAACCTGCATTCCTTGCCAACGTGTTAAAGTTACAAGACTACCAGCAGTGAAATAGGGGAATACCCAGATTTTCGCATGTACATATCGACATTGTTCGGCCCTTACCTCCGTCCAATAATTTTGTGTATTTAGTAACGATGATAGACAGATATTCACGATGGGCGCAAGCAGTACCAATTAACGACATAACGGCCGAAAATATTTTTAAAAATTATTAATTTAACTAGTGATCGTTATTTTATTAAAGAACTGTTCACTATTGTATAAATTACCAAAAAAAAGAACACAAATAAAGGCAGAATTAAATTTAATTTAACAAAATAACAGAAACAGAGCGACAATTTGAGAGACGTCTGTAAGAGTTAACGGCATTCTTTTCGCGTTAAAACGTTTCTTTCTTTTTTTGTTCATTTGTACAACATGTGTGTCAATAGTGATATATATAATCAATAAACCTCTTGTACCTTTCGGTGTCGAGGTAACAAAAATTTCAATAATTCTTAAGAAATTTCAACTAATTATCAATTCAGAAATACTAATTACAGTGTTGTAACGTATTATTTTATATCACTGATAAAACTTTTCCACTCTGTTCTGTCCCTGCACCGTACTGATGCTTGTTGCCAGGATGTGTTATTTCTGACCAGAATCCTAATTATGGTACCGTTCTAATCTGCTCTGGGTCTCCCTACACGCCTCTTTCCTGTTCCTCTTCCCAGACTTTCTTTACCTGCCTATTTTCACCCATCCTGTTCAGATGCCCAAACCAGCGTAGTTGGGACTGTTCAATAATTCTAATAGCACTATTAACATTTAGCTCCTGTCTTATTGTTTCATTCCTAATCTTGTCTAGTCGAGTTTTTCCTGCGATTCTTCTTAGGAATTTCATTTCTGCCGCCTGTATCTTACTTTTTTGCTTTTCACTTAATATCCAGGTTTCACTGCCGTAGAGGTGAGTAGGCAAGTATATGGACTTAGAAACAGCTAGTTTTGTTTTTCGACTGACTTCTTTCTTGTTAATGAAACCATTCTTAAAATTCATGTAGACTCCCGCTGCTGCCGATATTCTCGCATTAATTTCTCTATCCAGTTTTCCATTTGAATCAGTTATGGTACCCAAGTATTTAAATTTTGTTACCTGCTGGATTCTCGACCTCCCTAAACGTATGTCTATTTGCTTATTATCTCTAGCCACAACCATGGCTTTGGTTTTGTCTTTATTAATTGCTATTTTCGATTCTTCTAAGACCTCATTCCATTTGTTTAAGGAGTTTTGGAGTTGCTTTTCTGAACTAGCTATTAAGGTGATGTCATCTGCAAAAGTACAATTTACGATTTGCTGTCTTTGTAGATGTTTATACCCGACTGTGGTTTTGTTGGTTTCTTCTTCGCATTTGCAGATGATTTCGTTCATGAAGATGATGAATAGTAGTGGGCTTAGCACTCCTCCTTGTCTAACACCCTTTGTAGTTGCAAATCTAGTTGATTTCATATTGTGGGCCCTAACTATATTCCAATTGTTTCTGTATAACGATTTTATGGCTTCTAATAAGTTGTTGTCGGTGTTATGTTTTTCTAGAGCTCTCCATATAAGATTTCTTGGGACTTTGTCAAATGCCTTTTGTAGGTCAATAAAGCATAGGTAAAGTTCTTTGTCATCCTTCTTATATTTCTCCATGCATTGTCTGATCGTGAATATATGATCTTGAACGCTGTGGTCCGGCCTAAAACCGCTTTGTGCATCGTTCAGTGAATCTTCTACTGTTGATCTCAGCCTTATTTCCAAAATTCTTTCATATATTTTTGCTGCCACGCTTAATAATGAAATCCCTCTATAATTTCCGCATTCTATATAATTTCCTTTCTTATGTACTGGTATGATCGCTGCAGTGGACCAATCCTCGGGCACTCTCCTTGATCTCCATGCTGTTTGTAGTATCTTGTGTAGATATTTAGTGCCAGTTCTGCCCATATATATATTTGATCATCTCTGGTTTGATCATGTCAATACCTGCCGCTTTGCCGTTTTTCAATGATTTAATTGCCGATGTTACTTCGTCTATGTGGATGTCGTTTTCTGTGATCTCAGCTTTAGGTTCTGATACCGTTGTGCCATCGTAGTTTGATGCTTCCTGATTATTTTCTGTTCCTTCGAGCAATTCGGTGAAGTACTCCTTCCATCTGTCGAGAATTTCCGTGGGGTTGTTGAGAATCTGTCCTTCTTTGTTAATGATTTGACTCACTGATTTGTTTTCTTCTTGTCTCAATCGCTTTAGGTTCGCATAGAAAAGTTTTTGGTTACTTTTTCTGTTCTCCTCCATTTTTTCCACAAATTCTTCCCACTCCTTTGCTTTTTCTTTTTTAATTGTGATTTTGGCAATGCTTCTGCACGTTTTATATTCCTCATATGATTCTATAGTCCCTAATTGGTGGTACTTTTTCCAAGCATCTTTCTTTTTCTTTACTGCTTCTTGTGTTTTTTTGTTCCACCAGTGGGTCTTTTTCTTCCTTCCCCCTGTTGTCACAGTTCCGCAAACTGACTCTGCCGCTTTATGTAGTATCCCTTTGTAGCAGCCCCACATTTGTTCTAGGTTGTAATCACTATCTCTATTTTCCAAATCTATTATCATTGTGTTTATTTGCCTCTGGTAATCTCGTCTTCCTTCTACTTCAGCTAGTTTATATACTTTCGTGCTTTTCTTTGCTTTCTTGGCAGTTCTAATCATTCTTGGCTCTTCCTGGATTCCTAACTTGTGTCAATAGTGAATGGTTCTTTAATCAAATAACTCAATCACTAGTTAAATTAATAATTTTTAAAGTAGTTTTGCGAAATTTTTCAGGATGACCGGTTTTTTTTTGCCGGTCAGTGTAAATATGTGTAATTTTTGACGAATGAATTGGTTTTATCAATTTATGATAAACAACTTTTAAGGAATCACTTGAATCATTTAATAGAAGCACTGTGCCTCGCTTGGTCAGTACAAATGTGGAAATATTAATTACACTGGTCAACAAAATTCAATTTTTTCTCTCTAACTTTGACATAATTGTAATGTTTTCGTTTAATTTGTCTCTGTGTTTGTAACAAATGGCATAAACCTTACAACTTAGCTCAATTAAAAAGAAAAATGCATATTTGATGTTAAAAACAAAAAATCAGGTAAAACAATTTAATTTTTGTATATTTAACGGCAAAAAGTGATGTATTAACAAAAGAACAACCATAATTAAGAAAAAAACAACGATTTTAGTTTAAAAAACGAAAAAAACAAAAGAAACAGCTAGGGCCGACGTTTTTTCGGTTGCCTCCTATAGATTTCATTGGAGATCGCTCGCTTGATGATCCCGCAGTATTCTTCGAGCATTTAGGTGTTCCATCGATCTTGGTAACGTTTTTCTATCCACAAAATGCCCAGATGGAAGCGTTCTCTATGTCCGTCATGCACGTCGTCATAATTTTTGGGGAAAAAATCAAGATGCGAATACATAAAATGCACTTTTAAGAATATGTTAATTAAAAATTTTTTATATGATGATAACATGTTTTCTACTTACTAAACGTAGTTTTCTTATTGTTTCCCAAGAAGTTTGTAGCAATTTGATCACAAAAAAATACACCTTATAGAAAGTTTCGTATTACTCAATAGTACGATTTTTGTATTTTTCAAAGGATAATATTTTAAGATTACTTTTAAATGAGAGCTAAGTTTTGGTTTAGCCGTTTATAATATCATTTAAAATTGTTAATTAAATAATAATTGGCTGCTACAATAAAAGTTAGAGCTTAGCTGTTGACCAGTGTTATTATTAATTAATTACCTTTACCCTAGAAATCTATATTGGTTTGCAGGTGAACGATTTTAAGTGGTATTTTTATTTAACGAAAATAATTGTGCCACCATTTGCATCCGAGAACACTCAGGTTATTTTATGACAAGACGTAATAAGAATCCTTCGCTTTTTTGTAGGCAACGGATTGTGTTCTTAATCTCGCGTATCTTTTTAATTTCTTTCGGTAGATCTCAAAACCGGAAAATTCTCCATAGTTACACAAAAAGTGCGAAGGGTGTTAGTTTCGTCACGACTGAAAGTGTTCCACCTCACTTGCAGCTAAAATCTGCAGCTGAGATTTCTCTTAGTACAAGTAAACAAACACCCGGCTTGCACCGAGTTGGCTATTTAATGGTAAGTAAATTTCCCACGCATTCACCTAATGAGAAATTAAATAGTTAACTTTCTGGTAAGTTTGTTCGCGGGAATTAGTTCAGGAGTAGGTTTGTGGAAATGTACCCACAATATTGCTCCTGCAATTTTTGTAGATGTGGGAATACCGATATAAAAAACCTTTGTAATTAAACCTTTCATTACCTTCAAGAATGAAAACAAATACATTTTTCAGAAAGTCAAAAGTTGCGTCTGTTGAGGAATACTTTTTAAACAGCTTTGTTTTCATTTCTTAGTAAATATTATTTACTTGATACTTTACTTAATATTAAAAAAAAACAGTTTTCATGTTTATGAAGAGCAAAAAACAAGCTTAGAAACACCCATCGTAATCTTTGTCGTACTTTTCATCAGGATTTGGACAAACCACTTCAAATTATTAAACCACAGAAAAAATCAAATTGAATTAAAAGATCCGATCTCCTACAGTTTTTTTAGAAGTACATTTAACTTTCCAACTTATCAAGTTTCAGTAAATAAATCAGAAAAACTCTCCCTTAATCACTTAATATTACGTGAACATGTTGCTATGTATGCTTTCTAATGTGGATTTGTTGATAAATAATAAACACTGCGACCGCACATTAATCAGAAACACCCAAAACCAGTGAACCATCCTCTTTAATCTTTGCTGTTATGTTGTGGGATATCTGTGTTCGTAAGTCTCTACCCTATTTGTATCAAATATTAATATTTCGTAGAGAACTGAAGCTTCTTGCAAAGTGAAATATCTACATTAGATTGTAAGACACGGTTTATTGTGAATAATTGGTTTACCAAGTTTTAAGCAGAATGAATGATATGCGTGTGTTAAAACGAGGGCGATTAATAATGGAAACTAATGGGTGTGGATAGCAACAGTAAGTACAAGCATTAATCCCTAATTATTTGGACAAGCCAAAAATAATGCGTAGTTTTGGAACGAATTTAATGATTTTAATCATAAATGTAGTAAACTGATTGATGATGTTTGCATCGAAAAAATCTTGAAGACTAAAATCTGCTTTTTTAAACTCGATATCAAATCCAATAATTACTCAAGAAAAATAAAAAATACTTCTCCGATTTTACAGTGGGATAAATTTTACTATCTTGAAGTGCAGTTTAATTTATTTTTCCATTCCTCTGTCACATTCTGCAGATAGAAATAGTAATTTAAGATTTTTGTGTGTTGATAATGTTAACTGAGTTACGATAACACTAAAAGCTTAAATGAAGTTTTAACTGTAAGTTATGGCTTTCCATTACGTACGTCCATGTCGTACAACATCTCTTTTTCACGACGTACTATTCAACTAAAACAAGGAAAAAATCATTTATTATTGACATAGTATAATGTGTTCTTATTTTATTATTGTACATTATTAAAGCACGTGAAGAGGAAACTGCTCAAGTTTCAAAACATAAATTAAATATATATACGCCGGATATTAAAGTTTCCTTTGTGACAGTAATTCTATTCTTAATGGAAACTGTGAAAGTCAGTTTTAATGGTAAATTGAGTATTTCACAAAAAGAATAGCACAAAAGCTTTAACTGTTATTGAGTTTGCACTGCTGTCTTCATTTTTATACACAAAGTTTCTGTTTTTTGTCGAAATCTAAATATAATTATTTTTCAACAGACTGTCGCCATTTAATTGTAGACAGTTTTCTTTTAAATGGTTCTGAGTTGCCGGATTTTGTCTAGGTCATAATATAACCCTAAAGTGCATTATGTTCATCCAAAAATCTTTCATACATATTTACAATTATGACTGGAATTTTTTAAATATAATACTGAAGCTATAGAGACATCCAATAAAATTACTGTATAATAAAAAAATTATGACGGAGACGACAACGTAAAATAAACATACCTAACTAATCTAAATCTTTTGATTGCCTACTTATGTAAATAATTTCAGTTTTAATATATCGGTAAATATAAAGTAAATGGTGAGCTTCTCAATTTTGAAAAAGGTCGGATATTTGGAATTCTTTTGTGATCGAAGTAGTGTATTTTAACACATTATATAACGGACAAACAATCAGGATTTGAGTGACACTTTCAAGTTGATGAAGGTTACACATAAATCGATGTTCAATGATTTTAATTTAAGTAAATTAAGTTGATAAAATATAGACGCACATCACTCTTCGGTGACTTTAATTTTATTAGCAATTAGTTTTATATTATTAAAAGTAGGTATATTTCGTTCCAACTTATTTTTTAAGAAACACGGTAAAAATCAAATTTAATGACAAATTGAATAATAATTTGAAAATATGGCCAAAAGTGTCTTCCTTGTGTTTTTTTCTTATATTATTCTGTACACTTTATGTTTTGGAAAATGATTTTCATAAAACTGGTTACAACTTGTTGAATTGAGTCGGTAAAATTTAGTGAAATTGGAAAAAATCTTACGTGCAACACGAGATACAAGTTTTTTATGAGTTGACGTGTCCATACTATGTTCGCTTCGATGAGCAGTCTGATGCCTAGAGATAAAAAGAAATACTCGTGTCGCCTCCCACATCAATAACTATTCCCTTTGAATAAGGATATATTTACCTCACATTCGCATGTAGTAAAAGATTTATATTTCTTGGTGTATAAGTCAATCCAAAGATAGTAAAAGTAACGGCATTAATAGAACCTAAGACTAACTAATAACAATACTTTTAGCAACAGGTTAATTAAAATTCTAGCTTAGTGTTATTTCATTTAGTTAAATCTTAACGGAGATTATTATTCAGAAATTTCTCACTCCGTCAATTTTACACTGAAAGTTTCTATAGTTACGTTGTTTTAATAGACGTATAAAATCCAACAGTATTATCACTTTTTCGTTTAGAGTTCATTAACAATTTGGAAATCGTACTTTTACCAGTTTCAGTTTCTAAGTGTGTTTCGAATAAGACGTCCTATATTTTACAACAGTTTCAAACTTGTCTTAATGAAACTTTCTCTTAATACTGGATTTATCAGGACTTACCTTCGTAATTTTTGTGTTGAGTTTTTTTATTTGGTAGGAGGTTTTATTTTTGTGCTGTTAAAGAATAATGAACAGTTTATATAAAGTAATAATGTGAAGAAAAAATTGGTCGAAAGCTGTTTCAATAGAACTTTCCTCGCACCTAAAGTACAGTGAAACATATCCAGCATTTTTGAGTTGACATCTTCTTTTACTTTACTTTTGTGATGACGCCATCAACATTTTTGCAAGAACACGTATATCAACTTGGATTGGTGCACTGTAATACTAAAAATAACAGTATTGTATTCTCAAAATTTTCTGGGAAAATAGAGTGAGCCGCTCCTGACTTAACAAAATAAATTGACACAATCGTTAATTTTTTTGAGCCACTTAAATTAACAAATGTTAGGCCCGCCTACCCGCCCCCTATTTTCTCAGAGGATATGTCTTTTGCCAAAATAAGACTTATGTTAGCAAGTACTAGCCGCGCCCACCCACCCTTTATTTTCTGAGAGGGTAGTACTTGCTAGTTCTTGCTAAGAT